TTGGCATGTTGTGTTTTGATTCTCATTTGATTCAAGGAATTTATTAATTTCATTTTTTATTTGTTGTGTTACCCAGTAGCTTTTAAGCAAGGTGTTATTCAATTTTCATATATTTGATTTTATTCCCTTGATCTTCTTGTTGTTGATTTCTGATTTTATAGCGTTTTTATCTGAAAAGATGTTTTGCAGTATTTCAGTGTTTAAAAATGTATTGAGGTTTGTTTTGTGGCCTAACATATGGTCTGCTCTAGAGAATGTTCCCTGTGAAGAAGAATGTATATTGTACTGTTTTTGGGTTGAGTACTTTGAATAAGTCTATAAAGTCAAGTTGGTTGATTGTGTTGTTTAGTTTTTCTGTACCTTTGTTGAGTTTCTTTCTAATTGTTCTATCTCTCATCAAAAGTGGTTTACTAAAATCTCCTACTATTATTATGAAATTCTCTATTTCATTCTTCAATGTCATTAGAGTTTGGTTTAGGCATTTTGAGGCTCTTTCATTGGGAGCATAGACACTTATTATGGTTATGTCCTCTTGTTCAATTGACCCTATAATCATGATATACTATCTTTCTTTGTCTCTTATGATGCTTTTTGCTTTAAAGTCTATTTTATCAGAAGTTAATATTGTCATTCCTACTGTTAGCTTGAAATATTTTTTGCCATCCTCTAATTTTCAGTCTATTTTTGTCTTTGTGAGGTCTATCTCTTGTAGACAGCATATCAAAACATTCTGTTTTCTAATCCATTCTACTACTCTCTGTCTCATTTACATTCAGCGTAATTATCAATAGGCATGAATTGATTGCTGTCATTTTACTGTGTATGTGTGGTGCTGCTGGTTTCTTTGCTCCACATAATTTTCCATGCTGAGCACATTTTGCTTGTGCATTTTCTTGTCAGTTTTTAATTGCTGTGTTTTAGTGTTTACTAAATCTTTATGATTTTTCTTTTCCTTCTTTTAATGTGAAGGTGTATTAATTTTCTTTGAGGTTAACCTGTAATTTATTAATTTCTTCACCAGTTTAAAACAATCTGTTTAATCTTGAAATCTATTTGATATCCTTGCTATTTGGAATTTCTGCAACTACACTTTTCCCCCCTTTTTGCTTTGTAGTAGTCTTCATTATAAATTGTTATCACTGGTTCTCTATTTTCAGTCCTGTTGGTTTGTTTTGCTTTGGTGGTGGTGGTTTTGAGCCCTAGAGTTTGTTCCGACTCATAGTGACCCTGTGTAGGGTTTCTGAGGCTGTAAATCTTTATGGGGAGCAGAAAGACTCATCTTTTTCCCACGGAACAGCTAGTAGTTTCAAACTGCTAACCTTGAGGTTAGCAGCCCAATTTGTAACCACTACACTACTATATCTGTATTGAATTCTGGGTGGTGTTACCATGTATGTTATCTCAGGTTATTGTCTGTTGTTGTTGGTTCTCAGTCCAAAGAACTCCCTTTAGTACCTTTTGTAAAGTTTATTTGGTTATTACAAATTCCTTTAATTTCTGTTTATCTGAAAATGTTTGAATTTCACCATCATATTTAAGGAACAGTTTTGCAGGGTATGATTCTTGGTTGGCAGTTTTTTCTTTCAGAGTTTTGTATATTCTTTCACATTGCCTTCTTGCCTGCATTGTTTCTGCAAATAAATCAGAGCTTAGTCTTATTTGTTCTCCTTTGTTGTTGTTGTTGTTAAATGCCGTTGAGTCGGGTCGTTCTCCTTTGTAGGTAACTTCTAATTTTTCCTGAGTATCTTTCAGGATTCTTTCCTTTTTTCTTTTAGAAAGTTTGATTACAATATAGCTTGGTGATTTTCTTTTGGGATCTAACCTGCTTGGGTTTGTTCAACTTTTTTTTTTTTTTTTTTAATATTTTATTGTGAATTATGTGATATTTTACACGGGAGAACATTAGCTTTACATTCATCCTATCCTATATCCACTCTAGTCCTCTGTGGTTATGTCACTGACTCTGGGCCCAGGAGTCCCCAGGTCTTGCCTCACTGCTGGTCAACTTGTTCAACTTTTTGAATGACTATCTTGTCATCTTTCATAATGTTAGGGAAGTTTTCTTCCAACATCTCTTGAACAATATTTTCTGTTTTTGTTTTTGGTTTTTTTTTGTCTTTCCTGTTCTGGAATTCCAATCATACATAGTTATTCCTCCTGATAGTGCCAGGCATAGATCTTAGACTTTTCTTCAGCTTTTTTTTGTTGTTGTTGTTGTTGTTGTTGTTCTTTTTTTCTTTGTGTAAGCTGAAATTGTCTATTTCCTCTGAGACATTATGGTGTCATATTTATATTTAATTTTATACTGATGTGTTCTCAGGCAATCACGATCTATTTTGTGGTGGATGTGGTAGAAACTAGAAATGGGAACTGGACTTTCTGTTCACTGTTTGTGTAGCATAGTTCAGGGTAGGTTCATGTGCTTCCAGAAGCAGGGGCGTTATGCCTGGTGCCTGACCCCAGACAGAGCAGAGGCAAGAATGATGGGGTGCCACTGACTGCTGGCTTGGTCAGGGTGGAGACTTGTCACATGCCTGGCTACCAGGTGGGCACAAGAACAAGGGAGAACTGCTCCCCTTGCTGCCAACCTCCAGCTGTGTCCTGTACCTGCAGGCTGCTGTATTTATAACTGCTCACAAAAGCTCAAAATGGCTGTGCCACTCCACACCAGATGACAATCTGCTCATTTTTCTTTCCCTCACTGCTCAATACACGCCCCCGTCCTATCCTCTGAGGCTCAGAATTCTGGAGTCGCCATTGGTATCTGTTTCACTCAGTCTCCCATGTCTTTGTTGCAGAGGGTGAACTCAGAGCATCGACTTACTCCATCATCTTTCCCCAGAAGTCTTCCAAAACTCTATGAAGCTCCCTCATATATGCATTCAAAATCCCTATGCATGTGTGCAACTGGGTGCATTGCTTGTCTGTAAGCATATAATTGTAGCACACCTTTCTGTAAAAGTGCTCAAACACAAGTCCCATACACATATGCATGTCTGTTAGCAAATACATATACTTACATACTTCCTGCTCATACGAACAATGCCTCCCAATGCTCACATATCTACTTACTCCTTTCTGTGCTTCCATGTACCTGTATGCATGCCCTTCGTTTATTCATCTGTTTCTTCATTTAATATATAGTTCTAGGGATCCAACTTTTCACTGAAGATAAGGAGATGGAAAGACCTAGTCCAGAGACAGACAGGGAACTAGGCAATCCCATTTTGGGGATCAGCACTTGGGGCAACATTGGTAGGAAGAAGTGGCTCATACCCAACTGTGGAGTTTAGGAAGATGTCCTATAAAAAAGAACACTCCCAGCTATCACCTTAAAGATAACTAGGAGTTATCCTGGTGAGGAATGGTGGTCCAGTCAGAGGGAGCAACCTGGTCAGACACCCAGAGGCAAGGCAAACAAAGCAAAATCCATCCCCACTACCACTGAGTTTATCCGACTCATTGGGACTCTGTGTAGGATTTTGTAGACTAAATATTTGTGGGAGCATACTGCTTCCTCTTTCTCCCTCAAGAAAGGTGGGGGATTTGAATTGCTGATACTTTGGTTAGCAGCCCAATGCCCAAGCCACAGTGTCAACAGGGCTCCTTAGAGGTAAAGTGGGCTCAGAGAAATGAAAGAAACTCAGTCTGGCTAGAGCATAGAGTATGTGTGTGTTTACAGGGAAGTGGAGAAATGATGCACAAGAGAGGAATTGCAAGAAATGGGGCTAGAGTCAGAAAGCATATCAAGCAGAGCCTCGAAGGCCTTGTAAAGAATTCTGGAGCTTTGGTGGCACAGTGATTAAAGTGCTCAGCTGCTAACCAAAAAGTTGGTGATTTGAACTCACTAGCCCCTCTTCGGGAGAAGATGTGACTGTCAGCTTGCTTAAAGATTAGCAGTCTCGGAAAGTGACTATGAGTTGGAATCAACTCCACGGCAGTGGGTTTGGGATTTTTTGGCTTGGGTTGACCTCACTTATAATTCCACATATGCATGTGTATCCCTGAGTCAGTGGGCCTCTGGCAAACAGTGTGGGACAGCTCACACTGCAGACCAGTTGTGACCAAAGGCAGAAGTAAAGCTTTCAGGTGTTATCTGAAGGGGAGTCCATGCATCAACCCCCCAGTGTTGGGATGCCTGGATGAAGGGCCTAGAACAGGACTTCCCAGGTCCTGGGAGAGAAAGGCTGATCTGGGGACCTGAGGAGGAGGAACAGGCATCCCCTAGGCTCAAAGAAGGGCAGGTGGGGGACAGAGAAGAAGGAATGTGTGGTTGGCCGATGGGGCAGAGCAGAGGAGACAGATGGAGGCTGGCCTGGAGCAGCTCAGGGAGTGGGAAGGAACAGGAACTCGGGCAGCAGAGAGGTGGAGACTTTGGAGATGGAAGATACATAAGACTTGGGGGGCCCAGAGTTAGCCCCATTTGGTTACCCCAGTTCTCTGAGGGATGCACTTCAGAGCTACTGCCAGTACTGCCCTAACCCCACCTGGGAACTCATGTGAAACCAGGGAGGAACCAAGCTCCTTCTACAGTCTGAGATCCACAGTCCACTGAGGCTAAGCTTACTGCAGGGTCAGTGACCAGTCACTCCACTCCTTTGCCTATTAGCAGGCATGGAACACGGTGCTTTTCCCTAGCCATGAAGACCCTGTGAGGGCATGGTGCAGAGGAGAGGTGAGCCACAGCCCAGCAATTAGGATGCCATGGCCTAATGGGAGCTCCAGGGAATGAAGGTGTGGCAGACAGGCTCTACTGACCCCATCAAGGGCAGAAGGGATATGGAGGCTTATAGAGATCTGAACTGGGGGGGGGCAGTCATGGGGGCATTTGTAGGAGAGGCTGTAGAGTTGAGGGTCTGACATTGTGGACCGTTTTGGGGTGAGTTTCTGTTCTAAGCAAGATGGGAGAGAGGCATTTGTAATGTCTGAGATGAGGCAGGACAAGGTGGACAGTGCCAAGTGCCCTGTTTGCTTACACCTGTTCTTGTCTCTGCTTCCAGCGTTGCCCTTCAAGGTGGTGGTGATCTCAGCCATCCTGGCCCTAGTGGTCCTCACCATCATCTCCTTCATCATCCTCATCATGCTCTGGCAGAAGGTAAGCCCATTCACTCCTCCAGGGTGCAGATTGGCACACCATGTGCATGGTTAGAAATGCCACACAACCACCATGTCTGGGTCCATAGGGAGCACAGATGTGAACTGGCGTAGAGTGATGCTGGGAGCTCCAGCTGCCTTCCCACAGCAGCCTGGGCTATACTGGCCTGGTTCTGCTCATCCAGCTCATCGCAGCCACAGGGCATGGAACTTGAGGTGAACTATATGAGCTTCAGGATTCTTTCAGCCCTCACAGAGACTCTCATGATTCTACTAAAATGCGTTCTGACCCTTTTAATCTGTCATATCAACATTCTGGGATTTCACATTCTGTAATTCTTGGATGACTACTGTAACACCCCATGATGCTGTCATCCTAAGACTTCAGTTCCAGGATCCCCCATCGTATGATTTCAACACTCAGAAAGGCTACATCTTTCTGAGATTCCTGCTATGACTCAGACCCAACACCAGGAGAGGCCCTCCTCCTGCAGAGTCCCCTTGCCTCATGTCACTGTCCTCTGCTCCCAGCTGTAGAGGAGGTTCTGATGAAGTAGGCCCTCTGCCACTTCCTAGCTAAGGACCCTTGGTGCCTGTTCCCTTTGAGTTTATGAAGGCCGTGGCTGTGTTGCCACTTGCTGCCTGACTTCAGATATGCCTCTGCCCCTCTCTGGCCCCATATGAATAAGGGGTTGGATTCAGTGGTCTTCAAAGCTCAGAGCTCCCCCTAATGATCTATGTGCAATCTCGGGTCCACAGAAGCCACGTTATGAGATCCGCTGGAAGGTGATTGAGTCAGTGAGCTCTGATGGACATGAGTACATCTATGTGGACCCCATGCAGTTGCCTTACGACTCCACATGGGAGCTGCCTCGGGACCAGCTCGTGCTCGGTCAGCCAGGGAAGACTCACGTGGTGGTTTGGGGATTCAAGTCAGGAGGGTCCCAGCCTTGTCATGAATAGCTTTGAGAACTAGGGCTGATGTCTTACCTTCTCTGGGCCTCAATCTCCCCATCTGTATGATGAGATGGAAGAAAGGGACCACCCAGCTTTAAGGTTCTAGGATCCTGTGCCTCAGTGAGAATGGCACCCTCAACTTCAAATGCAGTGAGAGAGGAAGTATTAATTGAGGACAGACAATGATTAGCTAGTTGGGGAGGCGAAGAGCTGCAAAGGAACTGTGTTCGTCTCAGGAGGGAAGCTGACTTCCAGGATGTAAAAAGATGGGGCAGAAAGCAGACAAGATGTAGATGAGACACCCGGAAAGACTAGGAAGCATTGTAGTTTCAGGAGCCTGCTTATAGGAGATTATTTTAAGTCCAGGGTGGTTTGAAGGATGTCTGGGTGGACCTCGCCACATGATTTTCCCAGCCATGGGTTGGGAAGGGAAGGGGGTGCACCTTCCTAGTAGGCTGTGGGCTAAGAGATTGCCTCTATCCCAGGACGCACCCTGGGTTCCGGGGCCTTTGGGCAAGTGGTGGAGGCCACGGCACACGGCCTGAGCCATTCTCAGTCCACGATGAAGGTGGCTGTCAAGATGCTGAAATGTGAGTGCTGGGTCCCCAGCCCTCCCTGGCCTTCCCCATTCAGTCAGGCTCTCCCACAGCAGTCCTAATGTCAGATATTCTGGGTACCAGATAGGCACACACACTGAAGTCACACAGTTCTGATTCTGGTTCTAGAAAGAGGGTTCCTCATCCTAGCCTCTCCCACCCACTCTCCCCTCATCACCCTAGGCTAGCTGGGTCTCACAGCAACATAGGATGGGGTAGAAGAGCCAGAATACACTCCAGTGGGGCTTCCATGGACCTTAAGTGAGGGGCTACCCCCCACTCCCCTCCCCTGCCTGAGGCATTCCCTCCCCTCAGCCACAGCCCGCAGCAGTGAGAAGCAAGCCCTCATGTCGGAGCTGAAGATCATGAGTCACCTTGGACCCCACCTGAATGTGGTCAACCTGCTAGGGGCCTGCACCAAAGGAGGTACCGAGTCCCATTCCCCCAGAGAACTCTGGACAAATGCCCCTCCCTACCCCCTCCTCAGTCCCACGGACAACAGGACACTCCAGCTCATCCTGTCCCAACCTGAGCCCTCAGATCCCAGACCCAGATGGGCCTGGAATACAGAAGCTGGTAAAACCACAACACCTCAAAGGTCGGTACCAGTGGTTCTCACAGTTCATTCACTAAGGGTCCCTCAGACTTTCTTTTCTAAGTAAGTATAGTTGCTCCACCATCATTAGACATTTCAGTTGCTGTGTTGTTTTTTTCTCTCTTTCCTTGCTACCTTCTTTTCTTTCTTTCTTTTTTGTTTTCCCGTTTGTCCAAGTGAATTTGTATTTACCCTCATTTTTTTTTCTTTTGCCATCACAATGCATTTTCCACACTGCACTCAGGAACAGCCCCCATGACACTGAGATGAGGTAGAGACCCAGGGTTAGCACACTGGGGACCACCTGGATACTCACTTTGGAATGACTTTCTTTCAGACCAGTGACTGTAACTGCTCCTTCCAGCTGTGCTGGTTACTACAAGACTTTGAGTCTGGCTGCAAAACATGTTCTTGTCACTTGTGGCTATCTGTTGTGTGATTTTGGATTTTCCTCAGTATTATGCAATGAAAACAAAATACAGAAGTATGTGTCATGCCTAGGACAATCTGTTTCTGAAATGACCACCCATTTCAAAATGTTTGTTTTCATCAACAGTTCCAAACTCTCATTGGTTAACTTTGAGAAGAAAGTGTGTTGCATTTGAATTACAATAGCTCTCTGATAAGAATAAGCCATTGCTTTTCTCTGCCGTATATATTGGACTCCAAGATAAGCTTTACTTCACTAAGAATAGCAATAAGATATTTCATACTAATCATAATGTGTGTTTGCCAGGTGCCAGTCCCTGAGCTGAGCCGACAAAGGCATTATCCCATTAATATTCACAACAACCCTTGTTGTTGTTAAGTGCTGTTGAGTTGGTTCCAACTCCTAGCAAACCAGTATAGGGTTTCCAAGGAGGATCAGGTGAGTTTGAACCACCAACCTTGAGCTTCAAACTGACCTTGCAGTCAAGTGCTTATCTTACAGCACCACAGCAAAACTCCACAATGCTAGGAGATGCGTATTATTAGCCCCATTTAATAGATGGGAAAAGTGAAGCTCAGGAGACTAAATACTTTGCTCATGGTTACAGAGGCAGGAAAAGAACCGCAGTCTGCCAAGACCTCTCACCATCAAACCAAACTGCCTCTACCACATCCAACCTGTTATTAGTCTCCTGGTTCTGATGGTAGTCCAAGGCTTCCTGGAGACCATCCCTGAGCCTGTCCCTCCACAGGGCCCATCTACATCATCACTGAGTACTGCCGTTACGGTGACCTGGTCGACTATCTACACCGCAATAAGCACACCTTCCTGCAGCACTGCTCTGACAAGCACCTGCCCAGCGCTGATCTCTACAGCAACGCCCTGCCCATCGGGCTTCCCTTGCCCAGGTACCGGGACACCTGAATCTCTGGGCCTGGGAGAGGACCCTGGAGTTGCACAACCAGGCTAAGACCTGGAGGTTGACCACTTCAGGCTGAAGAATAATAATAAGGACAGAGATAGCAGTGGTGGGATCAGCCTCTCGTACCACACTGCAGCAGTGTGCCGGGGCCTGTGCTGAGCTCTCTGCAGACATGGCTTCTTTGAATCTTCACACCTTCCCTGAGCCACACCTACTCCAGAGCGCACGGGACTCAAAGGCAGTGGTAGGAAGAGGGTCAGGTGCCCACTCCCACTTGCATCCCTCACCCATCTCTCCAGTGCCCCCAGTCCCACACCTCTCAGCCAGCTCAATCTCCCTCTTCTTTTCCACACATAACATTTATTTCTTTTGCTGCTTACAAAAGCAATATGCGTGTATAGAAGAGTTAAGTAAAAGATCAGAAAAGCATACAGAAGACAGTGAAACTCACCCCATCCTTTCCCTACAGTCTGGTCTTTTTCTTTCCAATCTTTTTTCAAGGCAAGTGTGTGGACCGAGGTGCAGCTCTTTGGGAGTGGATGCCTCAGGGCAGCTCATTGATGTCAGCACTGGGTTGTGGCCGGGTGCTTGTGGGGCATCGTGGCCGGGTGGTGTGGAGAGGTCACAGAAAGGCACGGTGTTCACACTCATCTCGGTGTTCACACTTGACCTGGGGTGCTGTGATCTCCTTCGGGTGTGAGCTTTCTGGTTCTGATGTCATCTTGGCAGTCCATTGCCCAGCTTGGAGCCAGATGGGGTTGACAGAGTTCAATCCACGTTTCTAATGTTGTGACTGACTACAGGAAGGTGGGTGAGTGATTGAGAAGAAACACAAGCGTGACAGGGCCTTACAACACCAGGTGTGAGAGAGGGACAGCAGGGGACAGAAGGGAGCACCTTTTATGTGGCCTCTCCCTTTATGGTGTTCCTCTCCCTGGCAGCCACGTGTCCCTGACCGGGCAGAGTGACGGTGGTTACATGGACATGAGCAAGGATGAGTCGGTGGACTACGTGCCCATGCTGGACATGAAAGGGGACGTTAAATATGCAGACATCGAATCCTCCAACTACATGGGCCCTTACGACAACTACGTCCCCTCTGGTTGGTGGAGAGTGTTCTAGCTCACCTCATGTCTGAGCAGTGAGGCTTTCTTCCAAAGCCTTTCACTTGCCCAGCCTTTTAATAGCCCTGGGAGGAAGGCCTATTCTGCCAACTTCATAGATGCAGAAACTGAGGCTAGCCTCCTGTCCAAAGCTGCTGTGTAGGAAACCCCACTATGAACCCCTTGAATGCAAAGACCTGCGTACAGCCCACAGGAGGAAAGAGCTGGGGTGGGGAGAGAACCTGCTGCCTGGAGCCTTGGGGAAGAGTACTGTGCTTAGAGCAGCCCCTGGCTGACCTAGGGTCCCTGAGAAATTGGCAGGCAGAGCAAAAGTGGCCCCAGAACTAATGCCACAAGTTTTTTCTTTGGGCCAGTGAGGCATCTGATCAAGTAGGAAAGATTCTGATTAGATTTTAGTAATCATTCTCCTTTCCAGGAAATTGGTGGCTGTAGCCACCATTCAGCCTCCTTGGGCCAGAGGGCAGGGATCTGTAGACCATGAGAGGTGACTCTTTGTTTTCCTCTAGCTCCTGAGAGGACCTGTCGGACAACTCTAATCAATGAGTCCCCAGTGCTTAGCTACATGGACCTCGTGGGCTTCAGCTACCAGGTGGCCAATGGCATGGAGTTCCTGGCCTCCAAGAACGTATGTGTGGCCAGGGAGGGTGGTGGGCTAGGGATGAGAGGTGGGTCCCATAGGACAACTAAGCCCCCTCTGGTTCAGGAGAACAGTGTGTGCTCTCACACTTGGATAGCCTCTCACACCTAGACTGTGATGCATTTTCCCCAAGTCTTTGGGTCTTTTTCTCTAATTACCCCCAAGGCCTCAGCTTCTTTCCCCCTACCCAGTGTGTCCACCGAGACCTGGCCGCCAGGAATGTACTGATCTGTGAGGGCAAGCTGGTCAAGATTTGTGACTTCGGCCTGGCTCGTGACATTATGCGGGACTCAAACTACATCTCCAAAGGCAGCGTGAGCACCTCTCCTGGCCCCCATAGGATGTAACCATAGAACACTGTCCTTGTGGGGTTAATGGAACATCAGCACTGGCCTCATGTCCTGACCTGCCTAGCTGGGATGGACTGTGTGTAGAGGGAAGGGCAGAGAAGCCATCTAGAGGTACAAGGAATGGAAGGAGGCAAAGATGCTTGAGGCTTGGTGAGGGTGGGTGGGCTCAAATTTGTTTGTCATGGTAAAGAGTGGGTGGGAGCTGGCCAAATGAGTTCTGGTGGTGGGGGTCGGCAGCCCCTGTGTGCCGGATGTGGCCTAGGAAGGAGCCCAGACATACATGAGTAGGTCGTAGGTGGTAGCTGGGATTGATTTGGCTAGAATGTGGCCATCCTGGCTTCCCACTCATCTCCCCACTTTCCAGATGGGGACAATAAATCCCAGAGATGAAGGCACATAAGGCCCCCAGATATCTAAAGCAGATAGGATGCAAGTTGAGTAGGGTCTTAGCATGCCTCCCCACCCACCTAAGGGCTTCTCTTGAGGACAGGTCAGGAAGGGATACTCTTCTGTGAGGAACCTTAGACTCTGGGGTATTTTCCCAGGGGCAGGGACTGCCCGACTTCCTGTTCCTCTGGGTGTGGGAGCAGTGTGCAGCAGAGATGGAGCCCTCACAGGGACTGGGGTGTAAGAAGGAATTGGGCTGGGAGCACCAGGCCCTTTCCTCCCACCTGGTGAAGGGAAAGGAGGGCTGCACCTCCTTGCACTCAGCACCTGCCCCTGACCTCCTGCAGACCTTCCTCCCTCTCAAGTGGATGGCCCCCGAGAGCATCTTCAACAGTCTCTACACCACCCTGAGTGACGTGTGGTCCTTTGGAATTCTACTCTGGGAGATCTTCACTCTGGGTGAGCTTCCTTCTTCCCTAGTCCTCATTGCCTGTGGCCACTCCCACCTCCTCCCTCCAGCCTGCTGTGGGTTCTGGGATGAGGTCAGGGATTCCTGATTCAAGTCCCAGCTCCCCCAGTTTCTCACTGTGGTGTGGCCTCAGTGAGTGACTTGACTCATCTGAGTACTTAGGGCTTTGCATAGTGGTTTCAAAACACCAAGGGACCCTGGTAGCACAATAGCTAAGCACTCAGCCGCTAGTCAGCAGATTCATGGAAGAAAGACCTAACCATCTGCTCTTGTCAAGATTGCAGCTTAGAAAACCCACGAGGGCAGTAATAATACTTTATTACTGTGAGTGGGAATCGACTTAGTGGCATCTAACAATAACAATCAAAATGCCCTCCTAGTTCGGTTCTTCTCTAATTCTGGGGAGAGTTGCAGTCTCGGTTCAGGGCCCACGAGGGTGCTCACCGTACTAGTTTTTGTAGACGGCTGTCAGCAAATGCTGCAAACGATGTGATTTAAAATAACGGACAGGTGTTCTGGTAGCGTAGTGGTTACGAATCGGACTGCGAATTTTAAGGTCAGCGGTTCGAAACTATCAGCCGCTCCGCGGGAGAAAGATGAGGCTTTCTACTCCTGTAAAGATTTACACCCTCGGAAACCCTGTACAGGGTCGCTATGGGTCGGAACCGACTCGACGGCACTTAACAACAACACAACAATTCTCTCACAGTTAATGGAGGCTCTGTCTTCCTCTTTCTCACTGTCAGCAAGTTGATTCTGACTCTTATGGAACCTGTGGTAGGAATTCTGAGGCTGTAAATCTTTACGGGAGCAGAAAGTCTCATTTTTCTCCCGAGGTTGTTTTGAACTGCTGACCTTTCAGTTAGCAGTCCAGTGCTTAACCTACAGTGCCACCAGAAGCCGTGTGATGGAGGCTGGTGGTGGTGGTTCTGACTCATAGCGACCCTGTATAGGGTTTCTGAGGCTGTAAATCTTTACAAGAGCAGAAAGCCTCATCTGTCTCCCATGGATTTGAAGTACTGACCTTGTGGTTAGCTCAGCTTGTAATCCACTGTGCTACCAGATCTCTTTGTTATGGAAGCTAGAATTCCAAAATCAAGGTGCCTTCAGGGCCATATTTCCTCAAAGACTTTTGCCTCTCCCAGCTTGTTAGCCCTGGGCATTCCTTGGCTCTTGGTAGCCGGACTCCAGTCTCTGACTTCAGCTTCACACATGGCTGTCTTCTCTCAGTCAGTTTCTGTGTCCAACTTTCTCTCTTAGGACACAAGCCATAATGAATTTAGGGCCCATTCTACTCCAGTATGACCTCATTTAAATTGATTATATCTGCAAATATCCTATTTACAGTCCTATTCGCAGATTCCAGGTGGACATGAAATTTTGAGGAGACACTATTCAACCCAGTACATCCTCATGTTCCAGTTCTAATGGTCACTGTGGTCTCACCTTATGCCAGGACTGGTTTGCTTCTTCCTGCCATTTTTCCAACCACCTGCTCTGCTCTGCTACAGGTGGCACCCCTTATCCTGAGCTGCCCATGAACGAGCAGTTCTACAACGCCATCAAGCGAGGTTACCGCATGGCCCAGCCTGCCCATGCCTCAGACGAGATGTGAGTGGAATCTCATGCATGTAAAAGGACTTTTTTTTGGGGGGAGGTGGGTGGAGGGGAGAGCTGCCAACAACAGATATCCAACTCTAACCAGGTTAAACCAAAGATAGATGTGTTGGCTCAGAGATCTGAAAAGTCTAGGTATAGCTGAATCTAAGTATTCAAACATATTGTCAGGAGGGAAAAGTCACTGGAGAAGGATATCATGTTTGGTAAGGTGGAGGGTCAGAGAAAAAGAGGAAGACCCCCCAGTGAGATGGATTGGCAAAGTGGCAGCATCAGTGGGCTCAAGCGTGGTAACAATTGTGAGGTTAGCCCAGGACCGGGCAGTGTTTCGTTCTGGTGCACATAGGGTCACTATGAGTCGGTACTGACTCTATGACACCTAACAACAACAACAAGGTATTCAAATGTTATCAGAATTCTTATTTTTGATCCCTGGGCTCTGCTTTCCCTGTCCTGGCTTTATGTTTAGGCCAACACTGTCCAAATTACTACCTTGGTTGTACCTCCGTGCCTCTTTCCTATGGTCCCTGAAAAAAATCCCACAGCTGACTTTCATTGGTTCAGCTAGGATCACATGTCCATCCAAAGCCAATCCCTGAAAATACCTTTTGGCCAAACGTGAGTCATGTACTTGCCAACCTGTTATCAACCCTGGTGGAACCATGGGAGGGGAGTGAAGGGAGGGATGCCTAAGGGAGTATCCAGATAGAGTAATGACAGGATAAACACACAAATACCACTTCTCTCGCACTCCTTTGGTGTTGCTCAACTTGTTCTGAGAGGTGGTAGCCTTCAATTCCTGCACACCAGACCCCTAACACCCTCTGCTATCTCTCTTCAGCTATGAGATCATGCAGAAATGCTGGGAAGAGAAGTTTGAGATCAGACCCCCCTTCTCTCAGCTGGTGCTGCTTCTTGAGAGACTGCTGGGTGAGGGTTACAAAAAGGTATGTTGAGGCAAGGTGGTGGTGGTGGTGGTGGTGGTAATGTGCTATGGAGTTGGTTCCTACTCACAGCGACCCTATAGAGGGTTTCTGAGGTTGTAAATCTTTAGCGGTGAGGAATGAAGAGTCTAGTCCAGAAGTCAGACGCTGGGTGTAAGTCCTCCTTTGTCCTCTCTGGGCCTCGGTTTCCCTCCTGGTACTAGGAAAGGATGGGCTGAAGTTACAGTTTGAATTTATGTTTGCAGCTCTTTGAAATGAAACCAGTGTGATTGGTTTGTAGCAATGAGGGGAGCCTACAACCGCACCCACTGAGCATTTTTCCATATGCCTTTGCACCCATGCCATATCCTAGGTCTGCTCATAAAGTATGATCAACCCCAAGCTAGATGACCGTTAGGAGCCTGATCACTAGGACCCTGCAACAGGTGTTGTTATTAAGTGCCGTTGAGTTGGTTCTGACCCATAGTGACTCTGTATAGGGTTTCCAAGGAGCGGCTGGTGAGCTTTAACTGCCGACCATGCCAAACTACTTTCCAGTAGGTGAGAAGAAGGCAGTTGGAGCCAGTGAGGTCTTAAAGCCTGCCTCTGCCCTACCGCAGGGATTAGAGTAAGAAGGAAATGCAGGCAGACCCCATTTGGCACAGACACAGGCAAACCTGATCTGTCTTTTACCCCCACTGCCACCCCATGTCCTGCTGGCATCATCACTCCTTCATAGTGAGGGAAACTGAGGCCCATTGGAAGAGTTTTAGGCAAAATGAGAGCCCACATCTGTCTGCCCTGAAGTGGAGAAGAGTGTTAGGGTCTCAGGTGCTGGTCCGCTAACTGCCCCTTCCCTGGGCGATCTTATCCCCCTTTGTCTTGTGAGCAGGTGTACAAGCAGCTCAGCGTATGACCTCGCAGGACACCACACCCTTGTCGTGGAGTCAATTCTGACTCATGGCGACCCTCACTGGACAGAGTAGAACTGTCCCATGGGGTTTCTGAGGCTGGAAATCTTTACAGACGCCCATGGCCGCACCACTTTCCCACACACCAGTTGGTGGGTTTGAACCACTGGCCTTGCAGTTAGCAGCTTAACCCTTTAACCACTGTGCCACCAGGGTTCCTTCTCTGGGTACCAGTTACCCTATTGATATAAGGGGAGAAGGAAGGGGGCTAGGAGCTAACTCTTACACAATCTCCAAAGGCGTTTCTCGCTCTGACCATCACTGTTTCTCTGTCTGTGGGAACAGAAGTACCAGCAGGTAGATGAGGAGTTTCTGAGAAGCACCCACCCGGCCATCCTTCGGTCCCAGGCCCGTCTGCCTAGATTCCATGGCCTCCGCTCCACCCTGGACACCAGCTCCGTTCTCTATACTGCTGTGCAGCCCAACGAGGGTGACAATGACTACATCATTCCACTGCCGGATCCCAAACCTGAGGTTGCTGATGAGGGAGCATTGGAGGGTTCCCCGAGTCTTGCAAGGTCAGAGGCCTAACGTCATAGCGTGCCTGGTGTCTGCATGCTGTCAGACCTGCCTCAGAAGTAGGCTGCTCTCTAGAGTCTGTACTCAGTCCTGCTCATCTGAGCTGTCATGCCCTCAGGTGGACAGGTCAGGCTGGTGAGAGAAAGCATGGGCTGGGACTAATTTGTGAAGTAGTTGTTTCTTTTAAGAGCTCCATAGGCCATCTATTCTTCCCCAAGGGAAGGAGAAAACCTATTTAGCATCCCCTGTACTCCAGTTGTTATCCTGGAGTCATGGCCACCCCTGGGGTCTATGGTCTGTCCTTCTTTACCAGTCCCTGAAGGGCCCAGACTATAGGAAGCAGAGATTGTAGGAAGTGAGAGCTCAGGCCAGAATTCAGACTGGAAAATGTGTGCAGGGCTTTGGAGGAAGGCCCAGCTATTGCCTGGACTTGATGTTCAGACAGGATCTCCCTTTGGCTAGGGAGAAGGGCTCCCCTTGAGGGAATAAGACCCACCTCCAAAATAAGCTCTATTCCACAGTGCAGTGGCTGAAGTCCCAGACTGGATTTGAGCTCCGCTCCACCGCTAGCAGTTGTAAGACCAGAGCAGGCATCATCTCCTCTGTGAGTTTCAGTTTCTCCATAGGAGAAACACACAGGACTTAGAAAGCCCCTGAAAGCCCTCCCTGCCTTGTTTTAAAAACTCACATTCCAAGACTCCAAGTTGACAGTGTGAAGAAAAGTTCAATCAGAACTCAAACAGCTGGTCTTGAGGGGTGAATGCTGGCCTTGTCCTCACAGACAAGTTGCTTCATCCCTCTGCTCCGTTTCCACATCTGTGAAATAAAATCTGTACAAAGGCCTCTGTTTCAGGGTGGTTGTGAGGGCTCAGTGAGGTGATGTATAGCTTCAGGAGTGCAGGACATGGGCACTCTGGTCTGGGAGGAAAGGAGCTTTGGAGCCAGTTGAACTTGCTTCAAAATCCCAGTTCTGATGCATCCCCACTGTGTAATTCCAATTACGTAGCCCCACTAGGCTTATTCAGTCAATAGTACTCAGCTTTGCTCATCGGATTCCTCGTGGAACCTACCTTGCATGGTTTTTTACAAGGATTAAATGAGCTAAAGTGTGGAAGGTACATGGTGCAAGGTCTATGAACATAGAAAGTTCTTAACTAATATTCCTGTTGTCTTACTGTGCTTCCCTCCCAGCACCCGCCCCCTCACTCATCTGTCTTTTCCCTCTAGCTCCACCCTGAATGAAGTCAACACCTCCTCTACTATCTCCTGTGACAGTCCCCTGGAGCCCCAAGAGGAACCAGAGCCAGAGCCCCAGCCCCTGAGAGAGCCTGAGCCCGAGCCAGAACCCAAGCCAGAGCCCCAGCTGGAATCACCGCTGGGTTTACGCTGCTCAGGGCCTCAGACCGAGATGGAGGACAGCTTCCTGTAGGGGCTGACCCGGACCCTGCCTGCCTGAAGCTCCCCCTCTGCTTCCCAGCACCTCCTGGACTGGCTTCCCATCAGCCAGGCTGCCCCATTAACTGTCCTCTTCTGGAAGGTGTCTGCCCCTGACACATTGCACCCCAACCCCAGGGGTTTAGGTGGCAAGAGAACTGCAGGAGTTGTGACCAGCCCTCTGCCTCTGGGGAGGTCACATGACACTAAGCCAGGGATCCCCCTGAGACCTCAGTTTCCTCATCTGTAAGAAGGGAAAGTTGAGCTTGGTAACCCACAATCTGAAATTGTCTCTCTGGACGACAGGTGGGGGGACCTGAATCCCTAGAGAGCTTCTTGGGGTTAATGAGGTGGTAAATAATGATTTCTCTTCAATCAGCCAGCCCACACGGAGCTGCAGCCTGTAGGCATCAGTTGTTAGAGGAGTTTTCCTCGCACTTTTAGCCACTCAAGAGCTGGGAAAGGACCTGTGTCCCTGGCTCCTGGTTGGGCTGGGGCCTGGACTTGGACAGTGTTGCCTCATCCAGAAGGTACCTCCCAACAAAGACCATCTTCCCTTCTCCAGGCCCAAGCTGGTCTGGGCCATCTGTGCTTAATGCTATTAATTAATGCTGGGGCTGGGACTAGGCCAAGTACAGGACACCTTGGCCTGTAGCTTCGGCACTTGGCACTCTGGGCACACTCCTCCATTTTTGTCTGTCGTTGAGCCGGTTCTGACTCATTGTGACTCTGTATAGGGTTTCCAAGGAGTGACTGGTGGGTTTGAACTGCCAACTTTGTGGTTAGTAGTTAGTTGTCCAGTGCTTATCCTAGAGTGCCACACCAGGATTTCACTCCTCCATGCTTTTGTAGTGGTTAAGTGTCGTCCAGTCAGTTCCAACTCATAGTGACCCTGCAAAGGGTTTACAAGGAGCTGCTGGTGAGTTTGAACTGCCAACCCAACAGTTCAAATTGGCCTTGCAGTACAATGTTTATCCTACAGTGCCATGCCAGGACTCCTCTATAGAGAGTGCCAATATCCATGTCTTATGACCCCACAGTCCAGGGGTCTTTTCTGTAGCATTTTCAGTCTTACTCAATCTACATGAGTCTCCAAGGTCAGACTGGCCCCATGTCTGTGATGCACATGTTGGCGTGTCTGTGGCAAGTGTCCTCATGTGTCCAATATTGGGCCCTGATTCTGCACTGGACCCGCTCTGAGACCTTGGAGGAATCCTTAGCCTTCTCTAGGCCTCAGATCCCCCTCTGAAAAATGAGCAGGTTGGACTGATGGACTTCTAGTGCCCTGCAGCACTAGCATTCTAGAATATTCCAGGGTGTTGCACACTTGCTTGTTGAAGCAGGACCAGCACCCCAAGCCCCTATCCTGGGGCACAGCTGGGGTCTGGGGAGATTCCAGACCACACACCACACTCCAGAGATTCAGGAACTGTGCCCCTTCCCCAGGCCTCCGACAGGTCTTGAGCACCCAGCTGCTCAGGCCATGACTTGTGATAGTCAGTGCCCTGGAAAACCCCCGGCAGCTGCCCCAGGGACGTGAGAAGGCGACGGGACCCCTTCCAGCACCAGCGATGACCTCTCTGGAACTATTCTGGACAAGTGGGGCAGAAAAGGCAACTCATACCACCTCTGTGGCCCACCCATCCAGCACCTGCTGTCTAAGTCTCTGGCACAGATATATGGGCAGCCAGGGAGCCCAAAGTTCCCTGTAAAGAACAAGATGCCGCACATGGGTATCCCGGGGAAAAGTGTGTATGAGGGGTTGTGTGAATGTCCATCAGTCCTAGGGCTCTACGCTCTAGGAGCACTTTGGGGGTTGCCCTCCAGCTACCCCATCTCTGAGACAGTGTCCCATGGGGTATGGTTTTGCTGCTGCCCAGGCCTGCTCACCTTACTTCGCCAGCCACACCCGATCCAGTGGGCATTTGAGGTGCCAAGGGAGTGAGGGCTGCGGTCAAGACCACAGACAAGGAGAGGTGGGGATGGAAGATCTGACGCCAGCACCCAGTTCCGCTGCTGGTTGGCACCCTCTGCTCCAGGACCCCCAAAACCGGGTCCATGAGGGACAGTGGGTTCTCACTATGGTACCAAAGATGTAATCCCCTAGGTTTACAAGTATTTTTAGGACTCACGTTAACTCACATTTATATGACAGAAGTGCTATTTTGTATGCCGTCAAGTTTCCCTATCTATGTACTTTTTTTTTTAAGAGAAAGATTTTAATATTAAACATGGTGCTTCTCACTCACGGACTTTGTGGTCTCTCACAGGCTTGATTGTCCTATGCGTGGCTTATGGGCCTCCCCCTGTGGGAGGTGGTGGATGTGGGGTAGGGTGGATGGGGCTCACCCAGACCATAGATGCCTCAAACAGACCCCTTCAGCTCTGAGTCTTGTTTCTCCATCTGTCAAATGGGGATGTTCACACTCTTCCATCCCTTAGATGACTTCCTCTCACTGGGCCTCAGTTTCCCAGTCTAAAATGGACAGCTTTTCCAGCTTTACAGTGGTAGTCCTGGAGTTGGTGAGGAGTGCATGGGACTGGGCTGGACTGTAGGGAGACTCTAGCAGCTAGAGCCCCTCCTGTCCCTACCTCACCATGTGCTTTGGCTTTGTTCTTTAAGCCGGGTCACACTCCCTGCCTTCTCCTTGGGCCCAGATTTCGGCTGGTGTTTCTGGTGAACAATGACTGTCAGAGCACGGGCCCAGGCCCAGGCCCAGGTGAGTAGTGGTTGGGTCCCAGGTAGGGACAGAGCAGGCAGAGCACCCAAGTGGACCAGACCAGGACAAAGTGAGGAGACAAGAAGAGGAAGGAAGGATGGGAGGAGCATGTGGCCTGGAGGAGGTGGGGGTTGGGTGGACTGGGGCCTGGGGCTCTGAGAGTAGAGGGGTGCAGACCTGGGAAGCTACAGCAGTTCAGTAGTGTGGGGCTGGCATGAGTTGACATCAGGGTCCCTACTGACTAGCCTGTACTAGCCATAAGCTCCCCCACCAAGCCCAAACCTTCAGGACTCTGGCAGAGGCTCAGGGGCAGCCAGTGTGGGCAATAGAGCTGTCAGGTTCAGGGAGTAAAGCAAAAGGGTTCTGGACCCAGGCTGGAGCTCCCGGGCCCTCTTACCTGGCCCCTTTGGAATGTGCCACTTGAGGTGTGAGCAGCTCCAGATTGAGAGCTACACTACCTCACTGTGTGACCTTGGGCCAGTCCATTGCTCTTTCTGACAAAGAAAGGGGCATCTATATTTGGTTTTGGAGGAAGGACACCTCAATTTGGAGCTGCCAGCCTCTCTGGACTGAATCCAGGAGTCTGAGGCTATGGCTACAAGAGGAACAGGGACATGGGGCAGCTGACTCACAAGCCCAGCTGCCAACTCAGGAGCAGCTAAGCCACAGTAGGGGAACCCCCACCTACTGTAGGGCCTGGTCTCATAAAACCCATCCTTCCAGGGAGTTCTGGATAAGAAACCATCTAGAGCCCAAGACCCTTTTTCTCCTGGTTGTTGCAGGAGGTGAACAAGCCAATGCCCCAATCTGCTCTGTCGAGAGAATAAACAGCTCACATTCCAGGCAGAGATCATCCTTGATCCTGGGCGGTGGTGTGGCTGCAGTTGGTGTCACCTCCCTCTATGGACTTCCTCCTTAGTCATATCTATCACCCATGTTCATCATCGACCCATATGTAATAAATATAGTCATGTTGTTGTTGTTAGGTGCCATCGAGTTGGCACCGACTCATAGCGATCCTATGCACAGCAGAATGAAACACTGCCCAGTCCCACACCAACTTCACAATTGTTGCTAAGCCTCAGTCCATTGCTGCTGCCACTGTAAATGGCTTAAATGTAATGATTCTTAGATTATATGAATGCTAATAACATTGTTTTATAAAATCTGTATACATTGAATGTTTCTTAGATTATATGAATATTAACACCAACATTGCTTTATAAAATTTTTATACACTGAATTACAACATTATTAGTAACTAAACAGACATCTCTTTTGATTTTTCTCCTTTTCATTTAATTATTACTTCATTCTCAAAATTATTGACGTAGGTTCACAAATACTAATTACCACAGTACTGTAGCTACAAAACTTGACAACATCAATGACTTTAAAATCACCAGTAGCAGCAAGACCAATAGTGTGTGCCCATAGCATGAATAAATGAAACCACGTGATTACAAGCACCATTGTTATTGGGTAATAATGGCAACTCTGACCTGACCACATTGTTGTGGTTGCTGTTAAGTGTCTGTCGTGGAGTCGGTTCCACTCATAGTGACCCTGTAGAGAGGATTTCTGAGGAGCAGCTGGTGGGTTTGAACTGCCAACCTTGTAATTTGCAGTCCAGTGCAGATTCCATGTGGCCACACTGGTTCAAAAAGTAAATTAGCATGGAGTTTGATGCATGTCAAAGCTGGACTTAAGAAGAATGTTTTTGACCAATAGTGGAAGGAAGGAAAGGGCTGTGGGATCCTACGTCAGGTATGACAGGGGTGGGATGGAGACGATCTTGGAGCAGCACTCGAAAGACACAGTGAAGAATCTGCCCTTTGTTGGAGTCCTGTGCACAGATTCACAAGGACTTAATCTAGGCTGCCATGGGACACGGTACAGTTATATGAGCCAGATAGCCCAGCAAACAGTTAAGCTAACCTCTGACCCCACTGATAGTCTTGTGGTGTGTCTAGAATCAGATAACGAGAACATTATGATCCAGAAACACAATGACATCACAGGATGCACAAACGGCCTCTTGACATATCATTTCTTGACTTTATCATAGGGACTCAGTCCTATCGTGTTTATTATCCTACAGATCTACTAGTGTTCTTAGAGCTGGGCCCCTCATTTAATGTGCACTGAGCATTTTCCTTTTCTGATTTTTGAACATTTTGTTGTGGTTTAGATGAAAAATTTCAAGGCATGTTGGTTTCCTATTCAACATTTTATACATAGACTGTGTTGTGGTATTACCGGCACCTCAATGTATCAGCACTCTGCCCACTTCCACCCTGGAGTCTCCATTTCCGTTTACACAGATTTCTTGCCTTCTGAATTTTGCTTTTAGGTAAATCCTGCCCTTTTGTGAGTTCTCAGAGCATGTTCCTCTTGGTTGTTTTGCTCACTTTGTAGGCCTGTCTTTTGTTTGGCTGTGAGTTGATCTCTGGGAATGGGTTCAGTTCTGAGTTTGAGGGGTTTCTAGGGGCCACAGTCTTTCTTGGAGATTCTACCAGTCTCTGTCAGAAGAATGGGTCTGGTCTTTTTTTGTGCGTTTGAATTTAGTTCGACGTTTTTCTCTCACTCTGTCCAGGACCCTCTGTTGGATCCCAGTCAG